GGTTTCAAGACCAGGACTGAAAGACCAAGACTGAAAAACATGTTAAAAGTCTTCAGTAGAGAGGAAGTCAGGTGTAAAACATGCTTTTTGAATAGGAATGGAGCTGGGTTATTTTTGAAACTAGAACAAAAATAAAAAAGTACAAATGAAAGGTGCCTTCAAATATATGAAGGAAAAGTACTTCTAACCTAGCAATCTATATCCAGCCAAACTTTCAGTTGTTTCTGGATAAAATAAATCTATTCTCAGACATGCAAGGCCTCCAAAAAATGTACTATCTATAAATCTTCTAAAATATTCTGCCAAACTGAAGGAATAAATCTGGGAGGAAAAAGATATAAAATAGACAGAAAATAGAAGATATAATACAGGAAAGAAGTACAAACTTTCCAGGATAACAGTGAAAAGAAATTCCTGGAAGACAGCTATATATGACATCTAGAAAACCAACCATTCCAACATGAGAGAGCAGGAAGACAAGGTGTTCCCAGAGGATTACTGATGAGGAGGGGGAAAATATGTTTGACCATACCAAAAGGAGAGAGTTCTAAAGCCAAATTAGTGAAATGTATATAGAAAAATCTAGCAAATGAGACAATTAGGCAAGTTTTAACTCTAGAAAAAGAAAAAGATCCACAAGAAATAAAATGTGATCTAATTGCAATGTTACATAATCATAATAAAATAGATAATTTAAAGCACTCTTGTTTTACATGTATTTTGATTGGTTAGAACTTGTGTGGGTCAGCATTCCTATCCCTGGGACATAATAAGCAACACTCACAACATAAACAGGAAAGGGTTCATCTTGCTCACAGTTTCGTGGGGTTCAGTCTGTGCTTGGCAGGCTCCAAGGGGGAAACATTACGGCACAAGGAGATGGTGGAGTGAAGATGTTCAGTTCATGGTGGCCAGGAAGAAGAGTAGGGGAAGATGCCCGGAAGGAAGGGGCAGGGATCAGGGACAGACCTAAGGTCACATCTTCACAGCACACTCAGACACACCCAGAAGTGTGCTTTTTACTTTTTAAACAACGTGCCTCTTATTTTCTGAGGGTCCTTTCACTTATTTATTTTCTCTTTAATTGGGTAATTTTAATTTTGTTTTACTTTAGTACATATTTCCAGTATATAATAATTACATTCACTGTAGGAAATTGGTGCATGTACCTAGCACATTTTAACTCTATTTTCCCACCTCTTTCCTCCTCCCTGTTATTTTTCCAGCATCATATTCATTTATTTATCTTATAAGACCTTATAAAGTTAATTATCATGTATAAATTGAAAACCAGAGCAATGAGCCAAAGAACATATAAAATATATAAAACAGTTGTACTAAGTGAAAGTACTTTTAGATACATTGTGTTGGATTATAATACCTCTCTCCTCTCCTCTCTTCTCCCTCTCTCTCTCTCTCTGCCTGTTACCTGTCTCTTATTTTATACTTTATGTATATACTGAGTTTTTCATATAAGAGAAACAATGTGATATTTAAGCTCATGTGTCTCAGTTACTTCACTTAACATTATAATCTCAAGGTGCATCCTTTTTCCAACAAATGACTCGTTTATCTTTCTTTATAGCACAGTAGTACTTCATTTATGTGCAAATACCGTATTTTCTTTATCCATTCATTGTTGATAGATATATAAGCTGTTTCCAAGGTTTAACTATTCTGGATATGCTGCTATAAACATGCATACATCATTGTGATATGATGTCTTGAACTCTTGGGAAGATACCTAGTAGGGAACTATCTGGGTCAATTGGAATTTCTATTTTTAGATTTTTGAGGAGTCTCCATACTGATTTCCATAGAACTGTGCTTTTCTAATGCTTGGGCACTTCCCAAACCAATCAAGTCATCACAATTAAGTTTATCCACCACAAAGGAAAGTGAGAATTTATTACTTAAAAAAGTACCAACCCCCACCTTGTTGCATACGAGAGACCTTCAAAATCAAGGAGAACCACTACAACATTTCTTACAAATTTACTAGGGTTTTCAGGGGGACTCTAAAAAATTCTAAGTTATTTTGTGTAGGTAGAGAGGATAAATCAGGAATGGATGGAGTTATGATTGAGAAATAGTTCATGTACTAAAGCCATCAGTGACTGAAAAGGAGTGTTCAAGATACTGGCAAATGAGTAGTATGAAAAAAGAGTAGAAAGATACAACTACTAGGTAATGATACCATCCAAGGAACAGGGGTTTTACAGAATGAGAGAAGACTGATAGCTTTTACATGGCCAGAGAGGGAGAGAAAACTCTCTTTCCAACCTAGAAGTGGGTTAATCGGCATATAATGTGAAAAAATCAACACACTCCATCTTTCAAAGTTACAATATAAAATAACATCAGGAAGAAGGAAATTTTATTTGCTAGGGGAAGGGATTGAGGGTCAGTGAAGGAGCTAATGATATTAGGGCAATCTAAGAATGCAGAGAGGGCAGTGGAGGGTAGAAGCTGGAATCGGGGATTGGTTCAGTACATTTTTCAGGATGATAAAATAAATAGAGAAGATGAGCAAAAGAACTTACATTCTGGGTTAATGGAAGGGAAAGCAGTCCTCAGTGATTTAAATTCCAAACATTTTGATGGATGGTGGACACTGGCCAAACGGTGCAGGTGCAGGGTTGGGAATTCTCTTTCTCCTTTTGTTTTATTAAAAACAACAATATGTGCAGTGGAAGCAATAAATAGATCTAAGAAACAGCCACGTGGTCCACCACAAAAGTATGAGTGAGAAACTTTGAACAGCAAGAAGTATGAACAATAGATTCATAATCCATCTGAGGGTCAGAAATCCAGAGTGTGTGCGTCTTTGGTCTGCTGTACAGCTGCTTTACTACCTTCTGGTAGTCAGTCTTACTATTACTTACTCATATTAAAAACATCTTTCAAGACATCTTTCTTCCTCTACAGCCCCTCCTCTCCCACCTCCCATTCAATCCAAACCAAGTCTTTGAAGTTGGCTCAGCTGTCTTCCTAGCCCATCTTTCTTCTTTATTCTCACTGCTCCTACCATAAACTGAGCTCTTATCTCCCACCTTTAAAACTGCAAAACCCTCAGTGCCCATTTATGGGGTACCTAATAGATATCACATATTTACTGGGACCATTAATAGCATCATTAATAGGTCCCAGGTCCCAAATAGAGACAAGAAGGCGTCGGTTCTACAGTGGAGAATTTCAGGTAAAACAATAGTTGCAAAATCATGTGATTTAGACTCCTAGAAATGGAAAGTAAAGGAGTTTGACAGATAGAAAATAATGGAGGGGAAAATTCATCATTTTAGTGTTTTTACTTAGCCTTCTACAGGTAACAGGCAAATGTTTATAAGTGCTTACTCATCAGCGCATCCCCAGAATATCGTTTCATTAATTTGAGAAGTTAAAGGAGGAATAAGAACAGCTTTGGGCTGAAAATCTAACAGCTGTTAAACATTCTACCTAGTTTCCTCCTAATTTGACCTAAGCTAATCAAAAAAAAAAAAAAAGTTCTACATAGTCTTTAATAAAATATCAGTACTATTTCACCAATAAATTTATAGTATAAGCAAAAACAAATTAATAGATTAAATACAAGTTTCAAAGTAATATTCATTGAATAGAAATTCTGTAGTAGGCAAACTATGTTGTATACTATGAATTTCATAAATAAGGAAAGATCCCCCTCAAAAACTTGCCTCATGCATGGAGAAATAGCACATACCATTAGGAAGCAATGTAGTCATTCTTCTGAGGACACATTCAGACATAGTGACCTTTTAATTAGAATGGGAAGTTTCTCAAGAAAATTATCAGTAGCTGATGATGATCAGTAGAATCATTTACTCACTCATGTATTGATTTGCTCATTGTACAGTTGTTAGTATTTACTATGTGTCAGGCACCAACAGAAATACAAGGATAACCAAAACAGTCCCGAGATCTAATAGTCCAGGAGAAAATGATATGAAAACTAGCAGATTAAGTAAAGTAGTAAAAGTGCCTTGACACAAGTCTGTGCAAGGTTGCATGACATTTGGTCATTTTGACCTAGAAGAATAGGAAAATGACATGTCAGGAATTTCTATGATGATTACAAGCTGTTTTCTTGCACCCATATTGTAGAATTCATAAAGGTAAACTGACATTCTGTAGTGAATAAATCCATTTCTAAACTGTAGCTGCAGTAGAAGAGCCTGTTCACTTCTTCCGACTACCTGTAGAGTCTAGATCAGAACTTGGAATGCAGTGGTTATCCAGTATCTATTCACGGAGAGAATGGATTTGAGAGTCCGCAAGAGCACATCAGAAATTTGCAAGTGCCATTTGAATATTTTTTGCAGAAATAGAAGAAATATCTTTTCTAAAAAATGCTGGAAGTTTCCTTTCAACACTGGAATTTGTGTAAAATTTAAAAGCGTGTTATACATCCATGTTTCAAGTGACAGTATAATCAATTCAAGGTTTGTTGGTAGAGAACAGTAACAAAACGATTCTTTTGAGAAAATATTTAATTTCCGCTTAAAAGAAGTTAAATATTTTTAAATATGTGTGTCTAATCGTACAAAATGGAATAAGCATCATAGGGTATGGGAAACTGAATTTGACAACGTATTAATGAATAAATGAATGATGATTTCAAACAAACAAAAAACAAATGATAACAGAATTGAACTACTCCAGAGCATAGTCTGGACTGATTCTGCCACTCCAAAGCATGTGCTGTTGCAAAGACTGTAAACCTGTCTGAGCCCATTTCTCACGTCAAACTGGAGTAAAACCTCTCTCACGTCCCTTAAGGGGCAGTGTAAAGATTCATTGGTACAGAACACATGCATGTCTGGTGTAAGCTGTAAAGTATCCTAGAATTACAAAATGTACACCAGAATTAAATATCAAAGCTCTAAATATCACAAGAATGCCTTCGGAAGGCAGTTGATTAAGAAGTTTAGTGATTTTGTTTGTTGTTGTGATTTCTTTTAACGTTTTTTTCTGTTCTGCTCCAGTGCAGTGCCTGGAGATGAACACGAAACGGAAGATCATCGGCCGCCTGGTGCCTTGCCGATGTTTCCGAGGTGAAGAGGAAATCATCTCAGTGTTAGACTACTCCCACTGCAGCCTGCAGCAGGTGCCAAAGGAGGTCTTTAACTTCGAGCGGACCTTAGAGGAGCTTTATCTGGATGCCAATCAGATTGAAGAGCTACCCAAGGTAATTTCTGAGAACCTCGAGCACACACTGTCAATGAGGATTTCATGATTTCCAAAGACTTGGCAGAACAATAGTGTTAACTGTAGCATTCTGTCCTAGTAATTGGCAAATCTTTGGAATTGATCTAATTTCCCCCAATATTCTTGTCAAATTTTAATATGATTCCTCTTGTAATTTCATGTGCCGTAATAATAACAAACCAAAGAAAATCATTTTGTGGATTACACCTTGTTATTTTAAAGTGGCCTCCATTGCAAAATTGAGATAAATAGCTCATGATTAGAAAACAAAGGAAAAATACAGCACTGTTCTAGAACTGATAATTAATATGTTGTATGTTAAAATAATATTTTAAAACCTTGTATTATATGTTTTAAGTGTGAGAAATGCTTTTACACAAACACACACATGAGCATTTAAAGCTATTATAAAAAGCATGTTTTGTTCTTGGCTTTTAAATATTAGATTATTAAAAATAACACTGAATTTATGTGACATGTAGCTAATAAGAGAGAGTTTTTTTGTTTTTTGTTTGTTTGTTTGTTTGTTTGGTACCAGGGATTGAACTCGGGTCCTTGTGTTTGCACAGCAGGTGGCGAAACCACTGAGCCAAATCCCCGGCCCTAAGAGTAGTTTATTAAAAGTTTAAATGATCAAACTTTGCACACATACACATTGTCATGGTAACACTGTGCTCTTGAAGGAAAACCAGATCTCCCATGATCCTCTTCTCCTTTACAGGGAAGATTGGGTGATAAGAAATTGGCTAAAGCAGAACAAAACCACTCGGCGGAAAGGTCCAAACCTAAATCAGTAGATCCTAACAATCACTTAAATCCCTTAGTTTTAGTGGTGGACATGACATTTACCTGTGAAGGACTTCAGCTGAGAGGAAAAAAACATGTCATGTACTACATTTCCATTGCTTTTGCTAAAAAAAAAAAAAAAGGGTATTAAATATTCAGGAACAAGAAAAGAATCTTCAATAATAAAAACTTGAATTTTATTATCAAAATCTGAGATTTCAACATGCTGACTAAAGCAAACTATGAATTATTATTCTTGCTTAGGATCATAAATTATAGTGGTTACACAGTGCTTCCAAATTAGGAACTATTTAGTGTGTACTTGACAAACAATATTCACCTTTGACACCCTGATGCCCTGCAGGTGTAGCATCAGCTTCAATCTTTCCTCTGTAGGTCTGTGTCAGATCACTTGCATTAGTGCCACCACTGACATCAAAAAAGGATGGGCTGGAATGGGCTGTCTGCCCCCAGAATAGGAAATCCTAGGGTAGGTTGGCACCTTATT